TGAATTAATTTTGAAAACTTTGAACAAATTCAATCAAGTCCAAAAACATTTTGCCTTAATTACTAGTTAATTATTATACTAAAAAAATACATAAATCAAGTTAATTATGTAAGTATATTATAAAATCAAGTTAATTATTATAAAAAAAAATTCATATATATACATACATACAATTACATATATAATTACTGATGAGGCCTATATCTTGGTAGATTTGAACATTTTTTTGAATAACCTTTACCCCTACATAATTCGCATATCTTTGGTTGACCTTTCTCTCTAGCATGGAAATCCATACTGGTATGAATACGACTAGACTTAGGTTGACTCTTTAGACTTTTACGAAGCATTGGATTTGACAACCATTCGTCATGATCCTTTTTTGGGTCAATATGATTCATTTGGGATCTGTCTGAATGCATAGTTGTACACATTTAATATCCTATATAACTGAAAGCACTCATCAACATAACTATATGCGATCACACCAGCATACATACATGCAGCGACTGCATGAGCACATGGATATCTCCATGCCTGAAAGCGACCACAATCACACCATTTGTGTTGTAAATCAACTCTAAATATTTGGCATTCTCCTCTATCGTTGCAGCGAATGCATGACACAACAAAAGTATGACCAACTCGGTTGAAATTATGAACAAGCATTGAGGTTGTCAATCGCTCGTTTGCTTCCATTGCTTGGACCAGTGTAGGAGCCCAAGTTTGACGTCTATTTACGAGACACTCAATCTCCTTGCCTTTATTGGACCAAACCTTAGCCAACCTAAAATATGTCTCATTCACCACACTCGCTATTGGGAAATGATGTGTACCTTTTAGTACTAAATTAATGACCTCAACAATGTTTGTAGTCATGTGAATTGTATCGTCGACCCTCATCGTATGCTTGCGACCATTTTTCTTGCGGTATTTTCGAAGCCCACTTCCAAACACGTTGCTCATCATAAAATATCTTCCAATTCTCCAATCTCTTGTCAAAATTTGGTCGGCGTAGTTCGTATCCTGTTTTATAATATATATATATATATATATATATATTGTGTTAAAAATCAACCAAAAAACCACATAAATCAATACACACATGTTGAAAATAAAACTTACCCATGCTTACTATCTCACTACGAATGCGGGCGTTATGAATCTGATCGATACTATTCTTACCAATATGGTGTATACAAAATGTGGAATATGCATGCGGAGTTATCCAACAACTTCCTGGTCGTTCAATTACTGCCAAAATGCTTGTTCCTTGATCGGATATCAAGCAAACTCCATCTTCTCGAACGATATATTGATGTAGATTAGTCAAAAAAAATCTCATGCCTCTGTTGTCTCTCATTCAACAATGGCGAATGCAATTGGGAAGATATTTAGTTCACCATCTTGCACAACCACCATTAATAATACATGCTTATATTGGCCATACAATCACGTACCATCTACTTGGACCATACGTTTGCAAAATGGAAATCCTTATATGCATGACTTGAATGCCCAAAATAGTATATGAAATATTTTCTTCCCTACAACAAGTTGACCTTCTTTGTCATATGCAGACAAGGTTTGAGACTTCACTATGGTTCCCGGGATAAATCGCTTCATTGCTTGTAACAAATGTGGTAGCTCATTGTACAATGTATCCCAATCTCCATATGTCAGATTCATTGTCTTCATTTTCGCATTCCAAACCTTATCGTATTTTACTTGGTATCCAAATTGGCTTCGAATAAATGCAACAAACACTGAACAAGGGATAATTAGATTATTCTCAACCAACACCTTCACGTATTCACATATTACATCGGAGTCTAATAGTCGATGGTCTTGTTCAATTGAGGTTCACAAACATGCGTGAAGATAATTGTACCTTGTGATGACCCAAACATCGTGCCTTTAAATTTTAGAGAATTGATCTTCCACTTGCACTCTGGGCCATATTTAACATACTTCATATATATGCTTTTTTGGTTGGACTCTGCAACATAGACATCAATATAGCCTTTGATGCAATACTTTTTAATTACCAACATAGCTTTCTCTTTTCCTTTAAATTGTATCCCAACCGAAAATTCTCCAAAATTTTCGAATGATTCGACCATGTGGTATTGAGGTATATGTGGCATGTCTGGGAATTATGGTGCCCTCATCGCATCATAGTCTATCTCGTACATGTGAGGGGTAGGTTGATACGGTGTACATACTTTATTAGTGGCCAGGTTAGGTTCACCACCACAGCCAAAATTATCATCATAAGCCAAAACCGGTTCCTCATTTTCTTCATATTCACTAGAATCATCATGGTTTTCTCCCCATCGATTTTCAACATCAACATCAACAGTCAATTTCAAGTTATAAATGTTTTTCTCCTCGTACACTGCTGTTGCGGATGTTCTACCGACTTCATTTCCACTTTCCAATAGCGCCATTAAATTGTTTATCGATCTGTATGTCGGGTACTTAAACTCACTTCCGAAAGCTATTTGAGATGAATCTCCAGTCATTTTTCTTGATGACCCAGGAAAATCATATATCTTATGCACACCAACAAAAAACTCAATAACTGAAATATTTGTTGACCTATGTAATCCAATCATGGTCCAATATCATCATCTTCTTCAACTGGTACTGCAACATATTTAACTGGATTGAGACATACCATGAACCTGTACCTCAAACCATCAACTGTAGCTCGAATTTTTCTTTCTATCATTTGTTTCATTTCTACAAATGTGATGTCCCTTTTGAACATCATATTTATAGTTATTTCAGACTAAAAAACAACTCCGACCTTATTTTTCATAATATGTCCATTATAATGGACAATCATGAAAAAATTATTGCTTATTTTCTCTACAAATTCAAATTTTATATTTAGAATAGCAAAATTATGGTACACTATGATCATAAATATTAAAATTTATATTATACAATATAAAAATAATATTAACATAAAAAAATCGTAAAAATAACAAATATTTATAAAAATAATATTAACATAATAATCAATAGTCAAATACCTCAAATAAAATTTCGGAAGACAACTAACCATGTTAAATTTATCGAATAATGTAGCATGAACCGATTCTAACTTTCTTCTTTTTCTCTTATTCTTCTTTCTTTATCTTTTCCATTCTTCCTTTTTTTCTTCTCCCCGATGCCTCCTCATTCCCATACAATACCCTATACAATAACAAATGAACCCTATTATTACCCAACTAACCCACCAAACCCGTGATTGCAGTATTATTGCAACTGTTATTTCTACATGCAGACTGGCATCAGACAAGGAGAGAGCATGGAGTGCAGTGCGTCTGCGTAAGGGGGGAGACGCATAGAGTGCAATGCATATCCGGGGGAAAGGGAAGAGACACATGGAGTGCAATGCGTCTTTTGTGTGTACTGTAGCAATTACCCCATTTGAAGAAATAATTCTTAGAGTACATTATTTTACAAATTAAAAAAACCAATTGCATTATCTAAAAAAATCATCAAAATTTATTAAGTAGGGTTAACTACTTCAAATACCACTCACCTTTAAGCGTGTGCTCGAAAATACCACTGACGTTTCAATTTTGCCAATTTTAACACCGACGTTAATGTTTAACTCCAATTATGCCACTCCGCCATTAATTCGTTAACGAAACGATGACATGGCATCTCTGCGCCGTGACGTTACTGGCGTAGCTCCCTCGCCAAAATTACGTAGTTTTACTTAAAAAAATAAAGGGTAAGCTACTAAAAACCAGTAAATTAAAATGCCCCAACAGATCAAACACCCACGTATCTTCTTCAACATCTCTCTCTCTCTCCTCTTCCTCCTCTACATACCCATTATCTCTCGCTCTTCCTTTATAAAATCTCTTTCTCTCTCTCTCTCCCTCTCTCTCTTATTCAACTATTTTAATACTCAAATTGCAGACTTTTTACATTGAAACATAATCACCTAAAAAACCTCCAACAAACAAAATAAAACACCCATTAACATTTTACCAAAATCTTCCAATGATGTAACATGAAAGCATTAGGTTTTTCTTTTTGTTGGGTGAAGAACAAGTTTGAAGGAAATTCATTTCAAATTATGTTTTTAATTCCACTTGATGCTACTTCAAATAGTTTTTTCCTTTAAGTACCAATTTGAGTTATTTTCTGCTACTTCAAATAGGTTTATTGAGATTGAAAATCCATTTTTGATAAGTTTATGTGAATTTGCCAATTCATGGTTTATAGAATTATTGCACTTATTGGAAGTGGATTAGTGAAATTGTATTTTATTGGTAAAGAAAAGAAGGCAAAGACAAGGAAGGCCTTGTAAATGCTCGTTCAATATTTTTTTTTGTTTCCATAGCAACACATCGATCATGTTTTCTACCATTTTCTTCCATTTCATCAACTAAATTTCATTAATGAATTTATTGTTTATAAATTGTATTCTCTCCCTAGGTTATTAAAGAAGAGCGAGAGACAATGGGTATGTAGAGGAAGAAGAAGAAGGAAGAGAGATATGTTGAAGAAGAGATAACATGGGTGTTTGATATGTTGGGATATGTTAATTTACTGGTTTTAGAAGTTTAACCTTTATTATTTTTTTCTTAAGAAAAATTACGTCGTTTTGGATTTTTTGAGTATTAAAACAGTTGTGTCAAAATGATGTCATTTTGGTGAGAAAATCACGTCAGCAACGTCACGGCACGAAGATGACATATCATCGTTCCGTTAACAGATTAACGACAGGTGTCATAATTGAAGTTAAACATTAACGTCGTTAAAATTGACAAAATCAAAATATTAATTGTATTTTTTTAGCATGGTGAATGATATTTGAAATAATTAACCTATTAAATATATGAAAGAAAAAAAGTTGAACTTGAAAAAAAAAGAGGGAAGAAAATTGCTCTGCCACAGAGAAAAAAAAAGGTACTGAAATACTTGATTGGCGAGTCAGAATTATCGAACGCAAAAGTCCAATCAAGCCGACAATGGATCCTTCCTCCTATCTCCACCACCACAAGCACCACCACGCCAATCTCCCCAGGTACCTTCCTTTCTCTCCTCCTCTTCACCCTCCCCCTCAGCCCCCACCTCCCTATCAACAAAGCCCTAGCAATCCCTACCCCTCCCGCCACCAGCTTTCGCCGCAACTCCGGCCGCCTCCTCCTCCTCCTCCACCGCAACAAAACCAACAGCAACCCTACCAACCTCTCCTTGCCCCGCAACCTCTTGTGCAGCGACAGCAGTATTCTGATCATCCGCCTTACAACCCTCATCATCCTCAATACAATTCCAACCCCAATTTCAAATCTAACCCTAAACCTACCCATATTTCACACCAATTCCACGATGTTCCTCAACGGCGTGCGCCGGATTTCGATACCCGCCCTGATTACTGGCCTGAAAATCGGGTTTCAAGGACCCGTTCCGTTTCTAGTCTGGATCGGGAGGCCCAATATCATCAGTTTGATCGGAGACCCGCTTCTCCGGGGATTGTTAGGTTCATGCATGATTTAGAGGGGACTTCTAGGTTTAGAGATTTCGATCTGAATCAGAGAGAAAGAGAGGACCCTGGTAGGGTTCATAATGATAGGTGGATATCTGATAGATCTTCTAGGGATTTTGGGGTTGTTTCGATTGGATTTGATTCCAATTCGAATAATTCAAGATTTGACCACGAATTTGCTGGAAACATGAGACGAGGTTCACGTTTACGTGAACAGTTGATTGAGAGTGGAAATAATGAGATAAACGAAAGAGATGAGATGAGGGTTTTTCCGAGAAAAAATGATTATTATGATTCAAAAGCAGAGATGTATAGTGATAAGGGAAGTGGTAGAGAGGGTAACCATGAATTAAATCGCACTCCACGGAAGCAAATTCAGAAAAAGAGTGTTTTACTTAGGATTAAGAAGGCGAAACCAAGTCATAGGATTAGGGAAGATGAGAGATCACATTACTCGGGTTATCATAATGAGGGGAAAACTGGTACTTCTAGAGGAAAAGATTTGGACTTACATTCGGATCATGGGATGGATGAAGAAAAGAGAGAAGGTACCCCTGTAGAGCTTGATGTATCTTTCAAATCAAATTCCTTGGTGGCTAAGGCAATTGTGACTTCTAGTCCTGCACTGAAATCTGATTCAAATTTGATGCCTAGGAACACCAAAATTTGGAAAGTTATGACATTTGATAAGGGTGGTATGAGTTTTCAACCCAATAAGGGTAGAGAGGGTGGTGAAAAATTAGGAGGTTCCAGTTCTGCTGTAAATGGTGTTTCTGGGGGCATGGACACTAAACAGTCTGAGGGGAAAATGAAATCTTCCGGTACTAGTAAAGCTCAGGATGGCATTAGAAAGCCTTTCTTGAAAGGAACCAAAGTTCCCCTTAGAAAGTGCAATGCCAAAAAGTCTTCTAAGGTTGCCGGAACTGCAGATGCCCCAAATTCTGACAATAAACGAGGACCATTAGGGGGGGAAGGTACAATTCCTTGTATTGGTGGTATGCAAGACGGCTGTGAGCAAACTCGTTCTAGTGGGGTCAAGATTGCAGTTGGAGAGAATAAAGTTGAAGGGACTGTTAAGACCACTGTTTCATATAAAACCGGTGCTACTGTTGGTAAATCATCCTCCCTCAAAGTTAACAAGAAGAAAATAATTGTGAGGAAAGTGGTGAAAAAGGTTTTCAATTCTCCCTTGAATTTGGGAAATTTAGAATCAGCAAAGAATGTTGATCAATTTGTTAAGACAGGTATCTCTACTCGATGTCTATCTGCTAACTCAGTGGCTGAGAAAAGTGTTACACCTCTTAAAATGAAAGATGTTTCTGCTTCTGGAGAGCCAGTACATGGTGTTGATTCAGAGTCTAAACCTGAAGAATCTGCTCTGATTCTTGAGAATGAGAAAGTGAATGGAGCATCAAAAGGTACTGTCTCAAAGGATTTTTGCACTAATGCTGATCCTGGTAGTTCTGCTTCATCTAAGAATAAGAGAAAGAGAAACAGCTCCACTCATGGTTTGGGTTCTTCAATTAATGAAGAAACTAATGTTGCTCAGGGTTCTACTAATGCTGCTGGTAAGTCTTTCCTTGGCCTGCATATCATTTCAAATATGAAGGAGGATCATACTGAAAAACCAAATGAGACTATTAAGTCTGGCACTCCTGGTGTTGAAGATCTTAATAAACAGTTTTACCATAATGAAAGTAACATTAACTGTGATTTATCAAGATCAGAGGACATCAAAGCTCACGAGGGTACAGGTTTTGACTGTGGTTCATCTAGCCCCGAGGATAAAAATATTAATTGTGATATTGGCAATGCCAGTTCTGGTAACAGGCAGGTTTTTACATCTCCTTCCAGTCCATTAGTTGAGGATGGTGCTAATGGGGAATTGCCAGAAGCTAATTGTTCAGTAGGAAGTGACAAGGTGCCCCATCTGCCATGTGTAGAGGAAACCCAAATTAGCAGTGGTTCCATCTATGGAGATTGCTCCAATCATGAGAGGAGTACAAATGGTGCTCCTGATATTGTTTGTGTTAATTTAGGGGGGAGTAACCATGAGATAGGCCACGATTTTGTCCAATCACTTGGGGTTTCTGGCCCAGGAATCCCAGATGCTGTGGGATCAGTAGAATGCAGTAATAAAGGTGTAATTAACATCCAGAAGCGAAAAGCTGGGATTGGTGAACTAGATTTGTCCAGCTCAGTACTTACAAACATATCTGCAGGATCTCCAGATGTTCTTACCTCTGCAAATTGCGTTGACAGTACCATATGTACATCTGAGATAGATTTCAATCCTGCTGAACCTATGGTTAGTGTTATTGGGTGGCCTGATGTTGGTTTACAGCATTCTAGAGATGAAGTTAGTATTTTACGCGGAGCAGTTCAAATAATTCCATTACAGAGATCGGTGGTAGTGTTGATGGAAATGCTCCTGAGAAGAAAAAGAGAAAAATCTCTACCTCCAATTCTGGTTTGACATCACCCCTAATCAGCCAGAGTACTGCAGTTTCTGATATCTTCAAATCTGCTGTACAAGTACGTTCCAACTTCAATGATGGTCTATTGCAACTGGAACCTGAAGTTAAAGTATCTAGTACAAATGACCTGCATGTGCAGGGGATTGATTTATTGCATGCAAACAGTTCAGTAGGTGGACCTTCGGAAGTTGTTGGCTCTTTTAGTGATGCCTGCAGGGGAGATCTCCCAAGGATTGATCCTTGTTCAGCTTTTGTTGAGTCAGCTGCTCCAAGCTCCTCATACCTTCATACTTTGAATTTGGGAGGTGAGCAGTTTTCAATTGGAACACCAGTTTTTGCTATAAGTAGCCATCAAATTGATGCTATGGTTATTGAAGACGGTGACAGGGATGAAGTGCTTGTTGATGCTGCAGAAGAGCAAAGTATCATTTCTAGTGTGGTTACACCATGCAGAATTATTCCAGAACATAACACTCTCAGCTTGGATAACGTGGTACCTAGCATGGATGTGGATGATGATAATCATCTTCCTCTGAAGGATGATTTACCTTCTACCTTAAACTCTTTGATTTCTGGAGTTGACGTTAATGAAGTTTCTACAACCAACTCCAATGATGAAGCAATGCCCTCACCTGATATACTGTGTGATGCGGGTTCTCTTGGAAATCTAGTTTTAAGCCCATCAACTTGCAAAGGGCATCTCTTCCAGAAATCAGAAGAAAGACTTGTGACAATGTAACATTTTCAGATGATAAGCCTGTGATTGAAGGAGTATGCAACTCATCTACCCATTTGTCAGATTCACAGCTTAGCAAAGCTATTTTGAAGTCAAATGATGTGATTCTAACCAATCAATCAAGTGCTGGGAAGGCAGGGTTTTTGCCATCACATGAACCCGAGAACACTATTTCTCTCAATCTCCATAGTGGTGAAACACAGGGGAGGAAAACCCAGCTAAGTCTTGTTGGTCCCAAGAGTTATCCTACTCGGTCACCATTTGTTTCTTCCGCTTCCAAGAATGCAACATCTTTGACCAGTATCACAAAGCCCCGGACATGGCACCGATCTGATAATTCTTCTGCCTATCCTCTATTGGGGAACAAACCTTCCTTAAGTGCCAATCCTATGCAAAGGCAGATGCCGACTTACATTCGTAAAGGTAATAGTCTTGTTAGAAAACCTATATCAGTCCCTGGTCCTCCACAGTGTCCTACTTCTTTGAGTTCTTCAGTTTACCGACTAAAGTCTGGGATAGTGGATGAATTGAAGAAGGGTACGGGACCGAACAATAGAGCTGATGCTGTTGACTTGAGAACAACAGGTGCAAATACCACTTCTGAGAGGCACACAACACCCTCCTTATCTGGTGTCACCAAAGTACCAAAGCATGCTTATAACTTATCTGGGGAGTGTACATCTTCCCCATTAACAGAGCCTTCTACTAGTGATTGCTATGAAACTACAAGTCATCCAAGTTCTACGGAAATTAATGATATGCTCAAATCCCCAGAGGATGAACTGAAAACTTCTGAAACTCTAAACAGAAATGGTTCAGTTAACAATTTGGAAAACTGCTATGAGCAAAATGAAAGTGACTTGGTTCCTTCAAATGAAAAGTGGGTGACATACGTAAAGCCAAAATCAAATCAATTGGTTGCAACTTTAGATTGTGATCATATCTCTATTCTTGATGTTGATAAGAACCAATCCTTTTCTGCTTCTTCTGATGGTTATTACAAGAAAAGAAAAAACCAGCTAATTAGGACTATCCTTGAGAGTCATACGAAGCAGGCAGTTACTATGTCCGACGACATCTCCAACTCAGTGAGACAAATAGCCGCTAAGGTTATTTCCTGTAGAAGTTTTGGTAAGAGACGATCCAGTAAAGGTACACATTTATGAGCTTTCGGTATTCAGAATATTCATACCCATCAATTATTTTATTTATTTATTTTTCATATGCATTTTATTGAGTACCAAAAATACTACATTGAGTTTGTCTTGTAGACATTGCTTAGCTTTTTTATGACTTAAATTACTCAATTTTTTCCACGGAGCGCTGAAACGTGTGTTCTTTTGTCATTATTTTCATCTTCGGAAGTTCATATCTGTTGGCTGTAATGTTTTCCCTATTTTCTGCAGTACTTGCAATGTTGTTTTCACTTTTCCAATGCTATGGCGTCCTACCAAACTGGTGCTATGTTGGAACTTTATGCACTAACAATCATGAGAGATGGATTTCTGAAAACTGTGTCACCAGATTTATATGCTAATTTTGAATATTATTTTTTTGACCTAATTTGCCGTCCTTTCATCAATTCTAGTTGCCTATGTCCGTTTTTATCACCCTTTATATTTTTAGTTCCCCATCTGTCCCCCCGACCCGAGTATTGTCTTCAGTAACAAAATGGTCTGAATTGTGAAGAAGTTGGCTGTAATAGTGAAGGATGTATGTTGCCTCTGCCAAGTTGTCAAGTTCTGTTGAATCTTTAATGTGGCAGGTTGTGCTTCGTAAGTTAGCTGTTAAATCCGAATTGATTAAAAGAGGTATTCATGGTATTGAGGATGATTTATGCCCTCTCTGTAAATTGGCTGAGGAAAATTCCACACATTTATTCTTTACCTGTTCGGTTGCATGGTCTTTGTGGAACAATTTTTTAAACTTTTGGAGGTTTAGTTCTGTGTTTCCTGCTGATGCTATAACCTTTCTTATCGCTTGGGATGAGCTGAAAGGTAATTATGCTATTTGGACTTTCATTCCGGGGGCTATCATTTGGACCATTTGGAAGACAATAAATTTTATTGTCTTTGAAGGGGGAAAGTTTGATCAGATAGAATTATTTTTCTTATCAAGAGTTAGGCTTGCTTCTTGGTTTCTAGCTAAGAATAAGGATGTTTCTATTCATAAGGATTCTTTGATTACTGATCCTTCATTAGCGGATTCCTACTCACCCTACAGTTTATTGAAGTTTTCTTCAATCCGTGGGTACCTCCCCCTGCTGGCTTTTTTAAATTGAATGTGGATGCAACCATTAGCAATGATTGGAAGAAATCGGGTATAGGAGGTATTTGGAGGGATCATTCAGGTACAGTCCAAGGTTCTTCAAGAGTCACTGGTCCGGGACCTCCGACTTTGCTGGAACTTAAAGCTATTCAAAGGGGTATTTCTTTCTTTGCTTCTGCTCAAGGGAGGGTTAAAGATAGGCTGATTGTTGAGAGTGATAGCAGGGTTGCAGTAAACTGGATCAACAGTGTCGACTCATGCCCAGTTGTTTATGCCTTTGTTGTTAGAAATATAGTTGATAATCTTATAATTTTGGGGGGGGTTATTAATTGGGTTGCAAGGACAGCTAATATGGACGCTGATGCTTTAGCAAAGGCTGGAATAGGCTAATTTTTATGTTGTTTGCATTCTAAGTTTTGTCTTTGATTCCTGTTAGGGTGGGTTTTGTTGGCTGTTGTAAGGGTTATTTCGAAGAGATCTCTAGGCTGTAATTAGTATTTTCTTTAATGAAAATCTAAGGCACTCTTTTCCTTCTTCCGCTGATTAAGGAGCCGTTTTTAAGCTCCATTAATCAAGGAGGTTTTTAATGAGGCCTTCAAATTTTATAAAAAAAAAAGTTGTCAAGTCCCAAGTGCATACTTGTATTTACTACGAGCGAACTTTTATAAGTAATTTGTATTGCATTATGATTATTAATGGTAGCTAGTTATTTTATCTTGGGCCATCTCTAAATGTTTTTTGCGACCATCTACCTCAACATATTAAAGTTAGAACTTGGTCAAATGGATGAATCTGGAGATCAATTGCAGTAAGTTTCATTGCGTTGTACTGGCATGATCATAGGTGAGAGGTAGCTTAAATGACTGCTCCTTTTGCAGTTGTCGCAAAGACCCAAAAACCGACCAAATTGTCTCTGGTCTGGACCCTGAACGGTGCAAGGGTTTCAAATAATGATGGGAATTCACTATGTTACCCGAAGTTCCGCCCGCAACTGTTTCCCTGGAAAAGAATGGCACACAAGAGAAGCTTTAAGTTAAGCTCAGTTTCTTCATACAATAGCTCTTTATCTACAATCGGGTATATTTCTTGTTTAAGCAGCTTCTTGTTTTTATCATGCATCTGCTGTCCAAGAAAATAAGTACTTTTATTTTGCAGACGGAAAATGCTGCTATTGAGAACGAGAAATACTGTTTATACCAGGTCAACTAATGGATTTTCTATTCGCAAATCAAAGGTGTTAAGCGTTGGTGGTTCTAGTTTGAAATGGTCAAAATCTATTGAAAAGAATTCAAGGAAAGCTAATGAGGTAAGGAGCATCATGTACTGGTGGGCCAAGCTCTGACATCTTTTGTATACACTTTAAAACTGAACTGATGGAATTGGGAATTAAAATAGCTTTTTTGCTTGTAATCTTTTATGTGTTTAATAGGAAGCTACGCTAGCAGTTGCTGAAGCAGACAGAAAGAAAAGAGAACAAAATGGCACAGTTTCCAGGACAGGCAAAACGGGTCCCTCTTGCCATAAGGTTCTTAATGGTACAGAAGTTCGGCGAGGTAGGTGAATTAACAAACCTGGTCCATTACATGACAAAGTAGTGTATTGGTACTTTATCTAACGTGCATGACATATGGTTTTGAAAACTATGCTTCAATGATGTGTTTCACTTATATATATTATACTTCAGGAGAACGAATATTCCGCATTGGCTCAGTGCGCTACAAAATGGATTCTTCGAGGTGTTCCCTTCAGAGGATATCAGGTTACTCTCAATTTATCTCATGGTGAATTTTAGGCCCCTTAAGAAAAACTAAAACAATGTTTGCGGACGTAAACCTATTACGGATTGAACTCATAGTGGCAGCTGTCACTCGTAAAGGTTTACTTTTTGATCTATAATTGCACATTGGAAACATTCTTATGGACCAGTTTCGGGGATGGAATTGCCTTGTTTGGCTGGCAGATCTGTTGGCGCTTGCTTCATCTCATTGGGCTTGCAATTTATTTTTTCTTTTTGACTTTTTAGAACTTTTTTTTAATAAAAAAACAAGATTGTTACTGAACTTTCTAGTTTCTGATCAGTACCTACTGTCTGCGTAAAATCGGATGCTCTTTTTCCCTTTTGATATATTTTCATGCTGCTTCTAACTCTACTTATTTTCTGTCTAGATGATGCATCGTCATGCTTTGGTAGTCAGCAATCAGAAAACAGTGTCAAAAAATCTTATGTCCCGAGGAGATTAGTGATTGGGAATGACGAGTATGTTAATATTACCATATAAAATTCTTGACGGAATTACTACAATATATAAATCTAAAATGAACTCTGAAATCTCCAGGTATGTTCGAATTGGCAATGGCAACCAGCTCGTTAGAGATCCAAAAAAGCGCACACGTGTTTTGGCAAGTGAGAAAGTTCGGTGGAGTCTGCACACTGCCAGGTTACGATTGGTTAAAAAGCGAAAGTACTGTCAATTTTTCACAAGATTTGGAAAATGCAACAAAGATGATGGAAAGTGTCCCTATATTCATGATCCCTCCAAAATTTCTGTATGCACAAGATTTCTCAATGGTCTATGTTCGAACACAAGCTGTAAATTGACTCATAAGGTTCGTCACTTATCTGGTTGATTTGACATTCTGCTGGAGCTTGACTTCTTGGTTAACATCTGACTCTTGATTGGATATTTTACAGGTTATTCCAGAACGAATGCCGGATTGTTCATATTTTCTGCAAGGTATTACTTTTCGAGTTTGTGCTTTTGTTTTTCTAATTTTAGGCATGCAGATTCTGACAAAAATTACTTGCAGGTCTATGCACTAATGAAAATTGTCCTTATAGACATGTTCATGTGAATCCAAATGCTTCTACGTGCGAAGGATTTCTTAGGGGCTATTGTGCTGATGGCAACGAGGTAGTGCCTTACCATTTTGGAAATATTATTTCAGTAATTATTTTGCAATTTATGTCATACCTGTTTCATGTCATGTTATGGAGATATCTTCATTTGTTTGGTTGCCTCACACTAGTCTTAAATTAATATTAGACTTCTGAAATTTGACTTCTATGAAATAAGGTAAAATCTTGTTCTCAACTTTTGAAAACAAAAGAACAGAATATTTCAACCTATATTCTCTGACATGCCATCTCAATGTGTGCAAACCTTTGTAATCTGATTTTGTCTACTGTTGCAGTAGATATTTTCATTTAAAAAAATATTCACACGAATGTTTTTCCAGCGAAATGATAACATGACTTGATCAGTGTCATGGTATACTGTTTTTTAGTGTGTGTATTGCTGTTTGTGTGTGTGCATGTTTACTTGAAATTCCTTCAAAATTACTTGAATAGGTAGTTATAATGATGATTTTACATTAAACAAGTCTAGACTGTTCAACCTTTTTTAACATAACTAACATATCTATTGCCTCTCCGTCTCCGTCTCCCTCTCCCCGTGCCTCTTCTTGGAGGAGCCGATAATCATCCATTATTTTAGATATTCTATTAGCTACCCCTCTTCTCTAATGCACACACACAACGCACAACATTGAATAAGTGAAATGTAATGCATCTCTGCTCTCAGTGTCGGAAGAAGCATAGCTATGTCTGTCCAAATTTTGAAGCAACGGGGTCCTGCCCTCTGGGATCTAAATGCAAGCTTCACCACCCCAAAAACCGAAGCAAGGCCAAGAAAAACAAAAGGTCAATGGAAAATAAGATTGCTCGTGGGCGTTACTTTGGTATCGACATTTCAAAACCAAAAAGAATGGTTTCGGAAAGACTGCAACAGGTACTAGAGGATGTCATTTGCTTTGGTGGGAAATTCTCAGATTACATTGACCTTGATGCTAGCGATGATGAAGCTGGGGAACTTCATCAAGTGATTTTTGATCAAACAACCTTTGGTGACAATGATTCGTCAGATTTACAATCAGAAGATCTCGAGGATTTGATCAAACCCATTCGTATTATGAAGGATCATAAGATGACAGAATCACATCTGGCTAGTGAATCCACGAAGTGTTGAATATAACGGAGGAACTGAATATGTTGTATATAGGGAGAGCAATTTGTGTATTTTAGCTTAGTTTAACATCCATCTATAGACTTTCTTTCTCTTTTGTTTTAAGATTTCCATTTTTACAGCTTATACATACATTGCCTTGTGTACTTTGCCTATTATCCATAATAAGATTTTTAACATACATACATACATTGCCTATTATCAAGCTTCACAAGCCTGAAATGAATTTAACAAAAACTTCTTCTGAATTAAATTTTCATATCATATCTATTTTTTGTTTATAAATATAAAGTTCAGTGAAAGTATCGCATATACTTCATATTGAAAAATAATATAAATTTTTTCTTGTTTTCTGTTTTCCCTTTATTTATAGTAATCATATATATATATATATATATATATATAAATTATACTATAAATTTAAACACATATACATTAAATGAAATTAAATATATATTTAGATATTTAAGTAAAATAATTGATATGGAATTATTTTATTTATATGATTCAAAGACTTAATTAGTTGGCTATGTGAATATAGGATATTTATCAAATTCTTTTGAGATCATCGATTCAAACAAAATACTTATTTGTATGTTTGGATACAATCATATTACTATTTTTTTTAGTCGTGATATTTTCTTATTCAAATTTAATTTTGTGATATTATTATTATGTATGTTATTTTATATAAAAATATTATAAAAGACTTGGTTATCAACTGTGATTAAGGTTTGGTAATGTTAGTGAAATATATCTTTCGAAAATGTTTGGTAGATAGTGGCAATAGACATTCTCAACTAATAATTGTACGTTATATCAGAGTAGTCTAAGGGGGTGGAATTAGGCAGAATGAAGTAATTTAAGATGCGGATGCTATTCCACTCTCACTGATCTGATTTCATCCTCTCTCTCTCTCTCTCTCCTTCACGCTTCATACTATAACAATCCACGTTATAAGTTCGGTTCCCTTGTTGGACTTCTTATACAGTAGAATTATTCTCCTCTATTTTCTTCATACTTTATTCGAAAAATAAATTCCGGCGATAATGGCTTCGGCGACGGCTGATTCAGTGGCGAAGGTTCTGTCCGACCTCAACATCAACGCCGCAGATTGGCCTCCTAAACTTGTCAAGAATCTTCATCTCCTTCATCTGGATCAGGTTTTGCATGTCCTAAATTCCCCATTTCGTAAAAGTGATACTCATATACGCGTATATGTATACTCTGTTTTGTTATTTTGGCAGATAGAGTTGGCGAAGATGTTGGTGGATTTGGGACAGAGTCATTTGTTTCAGCATTGGCCAGATCCTGGTGTTGAGGACGAACAAAAGAAAGCCTTTTTCGCTCAGGTCTTTATATTATTTTTGAAGAACCATGGAATCCTAAATTTCTTTTGTTTTTGGTAAATGCAATTAAATTATGGATGAGAAGAAAAAGGAACGAAATGGGTGTTTTTAAGGAAAAATCATTCCCTCTGCTGTTGGATATGGTTGAATTGTGTTTAAGCGATTTTTAATATTATATTCTTGAGCTTAGTGTTGTACCCTTTTTTAGGTTTCTAAGCTAAATTCAAGCTATCCTGGGGGTCTGACATCCTATGTTAAAAATGCTAGAGAGCTCTTAGCTGACTCAAAAGAAGGGAAGAACCCATATGACGGCTTCACACCTTCAGTAAGGAAATTAGTCTTTCACTTTGTAACTTCAAGTGATTATTTACATTTATATGGTTGTACTGAGTTACATGATTCTATAAATGTAAACTGATAATAGTATTAAGTTTTCTGTACCCTATGTCCTCTCCAGTTCTCTGTGCAACATTGTCTTAAACACAATGAATTGCTTTTGCAGGTCCCAACAGGAGAAGTTCTTTCTTTTGGTGATGATAATTTCATCAAATTTGAGGAGGCAGGAGTCAAGGAAGCCCAAAATGCAGCGTTTGTTCTTGTTGCAGGTGGGCTTGGTGAACGTCTTGGATACAATGGTATTAAGGTAGATAATCTATAGACTAACAATATATGTTTTTATACTGTTAATTTTAATTATTTGGTTTCATGACAGCTAGGCAAGTCCGAATAGTTCAAATATGTTTGATAGATACTTTTGTGTTAACTGTTGGTTCCTATGACTCATGCATTTTTGCATTAGAGAGATATTGTATTGGTGTTTTTTCCTTTTTTAAAAAGAGTTGATATCATATTTTATGTCGCATTCCTCAGACCAGTTTGAACACCCTAAAACAAAATTTTTGACTAGCAACCTTGTACACACTGTAGGTAGCACTTCCAGCAGAGACCACAACAGGAACATGTTTCTTACAGCTCTACATTGAGTCAATTCTAGCTCTTCAGGAAGCTAGTAGTAGGCTTTCACAAGGTTTGTTCGGCATCTAATTGTTTTAGGAGGCATTACAGTTCCAAATTTTTATTAGTCATTTTATAAAATTTGCTCCTCCACATGATCAAGAAAGATCAAGTGTTATTGTTCTTCAGTATCATGTGTGGCAGCAACCAATGGGAGACTACTGAGCAGTTCAGCGTACTCAATTTTACTTGTTGAAATGTATAATCATTTACTTACCTCCTTAGTGTCCAAATCACAGAAAGAAATCCACTTCGGTGAACTTATGTTTAAACTAGAGCGATTACTGGAAAAGTCACTTTTAAAGAAGTGAAGAGTTGGCAACTTGCTTTTTCTGTACATATGTTACCTTTTACACTAGGAATGTTGAATAGAATGAACAAGTCGAAAAGATCTCCAAGTTACATTGTAATGAGGTTCCGTATGATCAACCTTTCACTTGCAGTAGTTACTAGGGATGAGAAAGGCACAACAGAAATCTGTTTAAAAATTTAGCTTATCTAATAAGCTAGATGCAATTGTCCAAGTCACCTGAGCTTATTAAATACTTTGTAAACAACCTCTCTGGTCTAGAAAATAGTACTAGTTCATAGTTTTACTCACATTTTCCTAAGAAGTGTTCATGTTAACATGTTTAGCTTACCAAGTAAAAAAAAGAAAAAAACATATTCACTTCCAACCTTTTAGAAGAATATTCCACTGTTTATTTTATTTTATAATTTATTAGCTCTCTTTATTATCTTTGAAGTTTGTTTTTCTTTCTATCTCTTTCTCAATTTTAGCCACATGCCGAAAGGAGATTCCTTTTGTTATAATGACATCGGATGACACACATGCCCGTACTTTAAACCTTTTAGAATCAAACTTTTATTTTGGGATGAAACCTGCTCAAGTTAAACTTCTTAAGCAGGTACGTAATCACTTATTATGTGTTTTTTGTGAGTGCTTTTGTTAAGTTCTCTTACATAAGTGTCATATCTTTAGGAGAAAGTTGCGTGCTTAGATGATAATGATGCTAGGCTTGCTTTGGACCCTCATGACAAGTACAGAATTCAGGTAATCGTCATAAATGCTGTACACAAAAGCAAAAATATAAAACTCAAAGGTTCTTCCCTTTAAATCTTTTCTGGTTTTATCTTGTTAGACAAAACCTCATGGCCATGGTGACGTGCACTCACTTCTCTATTCTAGTGGCCTTCTGAATGTGTGGTATGTCTCAGATGCTTACATTGCTTCTAAAATCTGGAATCTGGAAAAGAATTCCATGCCTTTGCAAGTTAATTTATGTTTATGCATTTCAAGTTGTCATTATTTTATATCTTTTTGGCACTGAAACTCCATATCTGATGATATTTGTCTCTGTTCTTTCCCTTACCTCTCCAAACAGGTACTAAGAAAAATTTTGTTTTCTAATCTTTTAGGCTATAACATTTAAACAAACTGATAATACCCATTTGAATATGATATTAGTCTAGCTGCCATACACTCGTATCTATTTTCTTGCTCTTTTTAATGTTAGTTGTATTGACATTTATCTGCTCCGCAACAGTCGCATTGCATAGAATGCCAACTGGCCCTTTTTTGAAATTGGTTTAATGGATAATTTCTTGTATTTCATGTCATACTTTTTGCTAGGCGTGATGCTGGTCTGAGATGGGTTCTCTTTTTCCAAGACACAAATGGACTTCTTTTCAAGGTTAACTGCTTAAATTCCACCACTTCATGTTTAATTGTTCTTATTGTAAATGTTCAAACTTGGTTGTGAATAAAATTTTACAATTCCAATGCAGGCCATTCCAGCATCACTGGGAGTCAGTGCTATTAAACACTACCATGTCAATTCTCTTGCTGTTCAACGAAAAGCAAAAGAAGCCATTGGTGGAATTACAAGACTCACTCACAGTGATGGTACTTATATATGAACTCCTCTAACTATTGGATGCTAGAACTGCGAATTGTGTGGGACTATTTTCCTATTAACCTATTTCTATAGGGATGTTGACAATTGACTAAAATAAGACCTCTATTTCACTAATTTCTGATTTCTTCAGTGTTGTTTGTTTATGCTTAAGGTTTTTTGAGATATAGGATGGTGCATAATTGCCTCTTTCTTCTCCACCCCTTCTTTTCATTTTATGTTGTGTGTATGCGTGTATAATACAACTCTGATATGATGCGTGTATAATACAACTCTGATATGATAGGTGTTTTAGGCATCAAATTCACAGGATTTACGCATTACCACTAGTCCACTACCAGTAATGTGACTTTGACGTTAACTTCAGGGAGGTCAATGGTGATCAATGTGGAATACAATCAACTTGATCCTTTGCTTAGGGTCACTGGACATCCTGATGGAGATGCTAATTGTGAGACCGGTTATTCTCCTTTCCCTGGAAATATAAACCAAGTAAGTTTTCTGGCTCAAAATGACCAATTAAATATTTCATTTCTAGGTGTATAGTGTGACAAATAAAGTACTTGAGCCTTTAGAAGTTCTATCAGATTTCAGGTTTGTACTATAACATGGGTTATTTACTTACGCAATCACCAGGGTCAGGAGTATTTTTTTTTGGATAGGAATAGGAGGTCTCATTAAAAACCTCCCTCATAGTTGCCTTTGAGAAGAGGCAACTAGCGAAAGGAGGAAAAGAGTACCTCAATAGATTAATTAACCAAGATTACATAAGACTTAAAAATTACAAATAAACACCCGAAATAAAGTACCAAACATAACCACTATAACACTAAAGACAATCAACCTATCCCCTCCTTAGTTAACTTGTCTGCCTGCCAATTACAAGCCCTGGGGACCAGCCTAA